GGATATACACTCAGAGTAACGTCACAAACATCACAATATAAAAATGTTACCCATTTTTGAAAAATGTTGGATAATTATAAATGGCGAACACGTAAATGACCAAAATAGAACTCTAATTTTTTAAACAAAATCCAATAGCTTTTCTTAATTAATCTAATATTTAAATCAATTGTGACATAAAGGTTTATTATCGATCCTGGTAGTAGCTAATTACGTCCATAGAAATCTTATATAAACTAGATAGCGCATCTCTTTTAGTAAAATTGAAGCCAAGAATATTCCAGCGGTTACCCACATTTGAATAGATGGCGGCCATGTTGGAGTTTCCCACTCGCTAATAAACGCTTAAAAAACAACAATAACTTTCATCATTTGAATAGTTTGAAAATGTATTTGGAATAGGTTTAACTTAATATTCAAGTTCCCTGTTTAAGAAATAGAAAACATACGAGTCTTCTCATTTCATGGGAATATACTGAGTCTGCAATCACGGCTTCAATTTTTGAATTGCAGAATAATTAGATGCACTATCTAGTGTATATAAGATATCTATGATTACGTCGTATTGATAACACCTACAAGAACGTTTACATAAACTCGAAACGAAAACAAAGGCTGTTGAGGCCGACTCATGGATAAGATCAAATGAAAATGACAGAAAGAATTAGAACAGTTTGCAGTTGTTTTGCAAACCGGATACCGCGCGAATTTTGCCATTTCATCCAGTTGTCGTGCTTCTATTACCAATTCAAAAGAACGAACGCGTGACCCAGCCCGATTTCACGTTCTGAAAGGCCCGATTCGCAGGAAAACAGTGCGCGCAAAGCAGGCTGCTCATTTCCCATTGTTTAACTGCCCCACACTTACCCCACAATCAAGTTTATAACAACTCTTTCGAAACATGATTTCGTGACTCGTTTCAGTCATATAATTCATTTTTATACACATTCTTGTCATTGTTGTCGGCAAGTACAATTTGTTGTTGCGTGTCGAAAGAACATTTTTGAAACATGTTATTTGGCTAAAACGATCAGACAAATAATTGTCTTTATTCATCAATAATAAAGAATTTTTATCGTGTCGTTTTAGCACTAGGCCAATATGTGAATCATGCTTGGACTAAAGTATTTTAAAATAAACGAACACAATTGATCTCAAATCTAGTTCACCACTGGAGTTTTTTAGGAATTTAATTAAGCATCATGCGAAAAATGAGTTATTTACCGTTAAGATTGGCCCGTACTTGAAAAATTTTTCTTCGATCTCAGAAGCCTCCCTCGACCTTCGGTCTTGGGCAGCTTTTGAGACCGAGGGAAATATTTTTCAATACAGACCTCACAGCAAGTAAACTTTCATTACTTACTCCTTAATTTCTATATAGGTACAGATCGACACAACATGTTGGAAATGGAAGACCCGTCAGTCAACTATCCTTTAACCTCGGGAAAACCGTTAACAATGTTCACTAACGCTAAAATCATTTGGTCAAGTCATACAAAGACGAAGACTAAACAAGATCTCGTTACAAGTATGGCTTCCTCTGGGTACTACGACAGCGTTTCGCATTATAAGGCTTTGGTAGCACGGAGGAAAGCGCTTAATGACGAGTTAAACAACGCTCCAGCATCGTATCGTGGTATGCTATTGAGGTTTGCACCCGGTGAATATTACTACATGTGTACAAGAAACAACAACTTCAGTAATCGTGACCAGAAAGGTAGACTTGGGGTCCGACCATGAAGCTGTTACGGACTATTAACTCAAAATCGTCTCCTGGCTCTTCGTAGCCATGGGAAACTGGTTTGATATTGACATTGCATGAGATTGAATTTAAATTTTACATTTTTAGAAATAACCAAACTGTACCGTATTTTGCATGCAACTTTTCCTAACTATTTGTTTATGGATAATAATTGTTAAGTACAAAATTAAATAATTAGACTGCATGTATTTCCTTCATTAACATATTTACCTTTTTATATTATTTTACTCTGCCCATGACCTCTCACTTCTTCATTGATATAGCAAACTAAAATTTCTCAAAAACCAAACAAATATCGTAAGACTCTCAAATTAACAATCATGCATATGGTTCTTTCTAATTTGATAAGCCCAAATCACTGTAAACTAATGCGGACGTCCGATATCAATTTGCTCAATTGAATTTGTGCATATACGCAACAATTATACCCATTGCATGCTTTCACGCTGGACATATTCAGTGGCATATGGGCTCATTTTCCAGCGGACTTGACTCATTTTCCTATGGACTCGTCTGATAAAATTAGCCCCCACGAGTGTGGCGGGGTGTGGGGGATTCGCTAAATGTTACCAACTTTTTTTTCAAATTAAGTTTCAAATGTGTTAACTTGTTAACACCGCTAAGTCAAACGAGGTCATGGATAGGAAGAGGCAAGCTGCAATTTTCGTTAATAGTACTCCAGACAGCTGCCTGTATTGATATATTTAGGCTACATACACGTACTATATAGATATAGGCCTATGCATGATAACAGCCTTTCTCGATATGCACGATAACATAATATTCTGGAAAATTATGGTGGATTTAGTGCATGCATATTTTGTAATCTTAGAAAGACCATACTATAGACATATGGTCATAATAATTGAATATCTGTCAATTTAATCATGGAATAATATGTAATATTATACCTCAAATTCAAATTGTCCGATCAGGAAGCTTAGTTTGTAACACTTGAGCATGAAATTAATCGCGATATCACGCCTTACGTCATCAATTAGCAAGCCTGCGTTCCTTTCGACAATGTTCCACCCCTTGTTCCCCGGGGAACATGGGGTGGAACATTATTCGCGTAGACCACGCGAGACAACACGCATGACAACAACATGGCCGACAAAATATAAATAGTATTGATGACTGATGAATAATCTGGGTAAATCAGTGCCGTAGCCAGAACGATAATGGTGGGGCACATATTCATATATTCGTGTTCTGCTTTATTGATTTCTTTTGAAATCAATTGTTTTTATGGTATGTGAACACGAATATATGAATATGCAGTGGCGTAGCCAGACCTTCATTTTTGGGGGGGGGGCGAGACCATCGCGGGCAGGTCTCATATGGAGGTCCGGGGGCATGCACCCCCAGGAAAATTTTGAAAGTTAGAGTCCCTGAAATGTGATTTCAAGCATTTTGGGGGTGAAATCTTGCAGAATTCCGAAGATTATAAAGTTCGCTCTAGGGGGATTCGGGGGCATGCACCCCAGGGAAAATTTTAAAATTTAGAATCCCTGAAATGTGATTTCAAGCATTTTGGGGGTGAAATTTTGCAGAATCCCGAAGAATATAAAGTACGTCGAAGACATAAATTTTCCCAGACATTTCTAAGTTTCTACTCGCTTTTATATATGATACAGAATAAGTCTGAGAAGAATATTCATGTTATCATAATGCATATACATGTAAATCTACACTAAATCTATTCCTTTTGGAACCATATCTACAACTGTTTTAACGAGATTTTAGAAATCAAGTTCTTCCAGTATTTCGTCGTTTTCCTCAGTCGAGACGTACTTAATCCGTTTCAGCTTCGAGGATGTAACGTGTACCCCCCCCCCATTTCTCTACGGATTTAGCCTTTTTCAGAGAATGTTTTTTTTTGCGATTGGGGGGCGACCGCCCCCCCCCCTTGCCCCCCCTTGGCTACGCCCCTGTGAATATGTGCCCCCTCAATTATCGTTCTGGCTACGGCACTGGGGTAAATGATGTAAAACCTGGGGCTTTTTCAAAATTTTGAAGCAAATTTTGAAAAATGTTGTCATTAATATTCCAAACGATATGTGATTCGAAAGAAAAGCGACGATACTTGCGTTAATCCGAAAATAAAACATCGTATTCACGAAGGTATGTATCAAGTTTTTATTTCTCAACTTGGAGGCTTTTAATTTTCGGTATAATATATAATTTATAGACTCTCCGCTGTTGGGATTCGGCGAAATATTACCCTCAGTGATATTTCCCTCGGGGCAAAGCCCCTCGGGAAATTTCATCACTTCGGGTAATATTTCGCCGAATCCCCCTCGCTCCAGGTCTATAAATGATGATAATAATACATGATTAAAATTTGAATAAAAACTAGTTAGAGCACGCTCGTACATTTTTGCAATAATGTCTTTTTTATAATTTCTTTTCAACCATATAAATTTTAATTACATTCCCTACACTGTAATTTTCAAGGAGTTAATTTAACTCCAGTGGTGTTATTCTGAACCTAATTTTTCTCCACAGTTGGAGTTAATTGAGGTACAGTATAACTCCAGCGGAGTTAAATTAACTCCCCGAAATTAACAGTGTAAATAATTGAATTTTACCTGCACCGCGGAACGAAAACTGATCTTACGGTATAGCCCATAAGGGCCAAACCTAGCTTCTCCGCAGAAACATGCATGCATCTTCTCTGTACAAACATGCATGCACCTTTTCCGTAGTCCTACGGGTTGTTATTCCATGGAAATCAAACTTCTCCGTGAATGATTGCCGTTGCTCTGTCACGGAAAGCCTTTTCTCCGTACAAATATGCATCTTCTCCGTGGAAACACGAATCTTCTCCGTGCATGGAAATACCGCGTAGCATTAATGTGAAACACGAAACGGTGGCCTTAACCTGAGTATCAGGCCCTTACGTTTTCATTCGGCAAGATTAATTGGCGGCGGCGAATGAAGGAGGGCCTGATACAATTCTTTACCGCGGCGCATGTAAAAAGCCAGATTCTGGCTTTTTCGTCTGATTGGCCGATTAGACAAACGATTTTTTAAATCTGTCATTTGATTGGCTGGTGCTAATTAGATTATACTATTGTCAGTTGTTGATATATTTTATAACGATCCCACTAAACGGCTGAATTTAAATTAAAACTGCAGTAAAATTAGAAAATAATCGCAAATTAGCGAAATGTATTGCAAATGTAGCTTATATTAAGGTACGTTTACACGCTGCGATTTGTCGGGCCGATTTTGCTCGCTATATGTAAACAACCTGTCGTGAGTACTCGCGTCAGCACATTGCGATTCACAAAATCGGGAGAAAAATCTGTAACAAAACCACAGATTTTCTCACGATTCAACGATTTTTCTTCCGTTGTAAAGTTGTTGAAAACTTTTCACACGCAGAAAACTATAATATGAACAGACGAGAGAGCGGACAGCTTCAATTGAACGTTTAAATCGCTAAATGTCGAAGGAGGGACATCGATTTTTTTTCAAAATCGGCCCGACAAATCGCAGCGTGTAAACGTACCTTTAAATCGCCATCAGATTGCACTATCGACTAACTGACGTATAGTTATAAAGTATACTTAATATATATATATATATATATATATATATATATATATATATATATATATATATATATATATATATATATATATATATATATATATATATATATATATATATATATATATATATATATATATATATATATATATATATATATATACCTCTGCGGAGGAGAGAGCAATTGGGTGGCGATTTAATATAAGCTACATTCGCTAATTTGTGATTATTTTTGTTAATTTTATAAGTTCATTGCAGTTTTAATTTAAATTCAGCCGTTTAGTGGGCTGCCTATGCTATAATTAGATTATTGTTGTCGTTGTGTCAAATTTAAATTTCTCCTGCGACATTTTGATTGGATACTAAATATAAACTTTGCTGTGGGTGGAAAGCGATCAGGTTAAGTTTTTTGTCAGGCTCTATTTGTAAAATAGAGCCCGATACTGAGGTTACGGTGGCCTGAACGAGGCACCTCTTCTCCATAGAAGCATGCAGCTTCTCCGTAGAAACACACGCCTTCGTGGAATATTTGTTGGTTTTATACGACGGGGGGAGGAAGAGAAATCAAGTCAAAACGCAACCTCGTGGCTCGTGGTCTCAAAGGCACATAAAGTTTTATACTGTAATATATACAGCTGAGTTACATATTGATATATATATATATCAATATGTAACCGACGCCTTGTTTGAAGAAGCTGAACGGAAGTTTGAAAGAAGAGCGAGACGAAACGGCTATAGCAACAACTATTTTAAAAAAAAGTCCAGACAACAAAACGAAAACTGCCAAAATCGAAAGTCGAACCTGTTCCCACATTCACAATTCCATTCATTTCCAGAAGCTTTACCACTGACATCCGAAGAGCGGTCCAGAGTTCAAACCTCAATGTCAGAATAGTTGAAAGACCACAAAGCTCGCTCAAGCAACTCCTCGTAGAATCGCGACCTTACGATAAAGTATGCACAGACACCTCTAAATGCCCAATCTGCAGCAATTCAAATGCTCCCGTTCGGTGTACACAGAAAGATGTCGTGTATCAAATGAACTGTGATCTTTGTGTAGCAACGTACGTAGGCGAGACAGGCAGACCATTGGTGGTTCGATACCAAGAACATTTTCGTCCCGCAGCAAACCCAGAAGCAAAGTCTTATAAAAACATGGCTTTCTCAAAACACTACCTCGACCAACATTACGGACAAAAACCTAAACTGTCTGTTAAGATTTTAAAAAGAACAAAAGGATCTGTAGAACGGAAAATTACCGAAGCATTATTTATCCAAAAGCTTAATCCAGACTTGAATGGAAAATACGAACAGTTAAATGTCTTAGATTTCGTAGTTTAAACATTAAAGAGAGAATTAACAATTTCTAATTTTTATTAGAATTAATCGGACACGTGCACGTAATTTATATGCTTACGCAATTTCGCACGCGCGAATAACGGTCGCAATTTAACGTTTATGCATGCGCATGTTAGTTTAAATTCAAATTGTAATCCTATTAACTACCTGAAGATGGAGTAAATCTCCGAAACGTCGTTTGTTAATAAAATAAACATTTAAAAAATGTCTTACTGTGGTCTATATATTGAACACAAAATATACTATTAACATGAGACTTAGGGAAAGTTCGTTCCTAAACATTTTGAGGAAAAAATTGTTTTGCAACATATATGCAGTAGGTCAACATTCGGCCATCAAGTGCCTGTAGGCGTAATTTTCCAGTAATATAAACCTAGATTAATCTTTTACCAGCTAGTGGGCATAAAATGGTTGCAACTCCAAAGAAAAACAGTGTTGATAGTACACAAGACAACCCAGAGGTCCTTGAACCATTTGATACTCTGCCACCAAGTGCTATTGAAGATGAATGTCATGTATCAAACAGTGCAGCCGATGGTAGTGGGGATGAAGAGCCACCACATCCTAGTAGAGATGAAAGACTTGAAAAGCACAGGATGCAATGCCAGAACTTGATCACATATCTAACCACGAATGTGTGCCCGTCTGGATTGACAAAAAAAGAAGTGAGGAATATAAAAAACCAAGCCAAAACTCACCAATGGGACTATTAAAAGTAAGATATTTAATATTATACCAGTACAGTTAATTTATTTGGCTACACTGTGTAGCTAAAGATAGTTGAGCACACTCTGTCGAACGTAAAATTATATGGGAACCACATTGTTTTCCTAGAACTGGAAATACTGCAGATTTCAATTGATTGAACAACATTCGCCAATGTTGTTAAGTGCAAATTTTAACAGTAACAAGCAAAGTTCGAGTACCTAGTATAGCATGTTTACTGTCTGCAGTATAGGAAGGAGTTTTGTTAACAGGAAAATTTTGTCAAAGGAATTAAGACCCGTTAATATTGATAAAACAATAGTAAATGACCCAATATGTACATACTTCTGAGGCCATTCCAAGGGGTAGAGCCAAGGGGTAGAGCGAAGGGGGTTAACATCCAGCTTCGTCTGCAGGGTTTTATTCTTGAATGACCCAGTCCCATATACTAAACTATTTTTTGTTGTGTTTAAGGAAAAGAACTTATCTATGTTGGGGCAAAGAAAAATTTGAGAAAAAAAGTTGTGATGGATGTCGAGGAGATTTCAGAGATTCTACATCAGTACCATTCCAATCCAATGGGTGGGCACAGTGGAATAAATAACAATCTGGCAAAAGTATCCCAGTACTATATTTGGAATGGTATTAAGGAGGATGTAGTTGAATATGTAAGTAACATAAAAGGAAAATTGGTTAACCCTTTAAGTGGCAATGCGCCCAGATGCACCCTACTTTATTGTTTTACTCTGTCTAACGCCAGGCTTATTTTGATAAACATTAGGGAAAATGAAAACAAGTGTAAATTGCCTTTATTAGTGACGAAACACTTTAGATAAGAGGTTCTTATGTTGCATAATTTTTAAACTATGAATTACTGGTCCAAAAGTATCCCACAAAAGGCCACAATGCAATGTTCTTACCCGAAGCCCTGTGTAGCATTTCCAAGGTCAATTTAAAATGTTTCATGCATTTTTTTACCATTATGCAATTTGTTACTTCTTAGTGTAAAACTTGTGATCGCTGCCAACGTTATGAGAAACTGAAAACCCAAGCTCCAGAGCTTAAATCAATTGAAGTAAACAAGGCATTAGAATTGGTTGGAATGGATCTTATTGGTATGCTTCTAAAGATGCTTAAATTCAACTTCATACCTTAAATCATGTGACTGAATTTGTGACAAATCTGTTTTTGAAATATTAGTTTTTCGTGAATCTGTAACTCAAATGCGAAATAGAATACTTACGTATAAGAATACTCAAGTATTTCTGAATGTTGATCTTAATTAATATAATTATATCTATTTTTATTAAAGATTGTCAAATTATTTTTATTATATTTTCAAGGGCCTCTTCCTACTACTGATGCTGGGTACAAGTATGTCATTACGTTCACTGATTACTACACCAAATTTGTGGACTTCTATCCTTTAAAAGAAAAAGCAGCTGCTGGGATAGCACGCTGCATCAAAACATTTGTTTGCAGGTACCGTAAATAAAGTTTGTACAGTGCTTGAAATGTAGGCTAGTAGCTCTCTATAGGCAAAGCTTACCATTACAATGATTAGGTACGGTATGCTTGAAGTGGAATACAGCCTTTATTAAGGCATCTAGTACAATTGATGTAATAACATATGATAATGCTAAAATGTTTTGTTTGATTATTCTTGTAGATGGGGTGCTCTATGCAGACTCCTGTCAGATCAAGGACGTGAATTTGTGGCTAAAGTAATGCCCATGTCTCCCTAAATAATTAACGTGCAATA